CTGGTTAGCCAGGAGGCTGTGGCTCCTCAGCTGTTCGTGTTTGATGACATAGCCACCGCTGACAATAACAGCGTGAGCTACTTTCCCAGCTGTTAACAAGCGAGCGTTAACGTTAGATGCCTAGCTAGATTCTGTTTCACCTGTTGAATCCAACCTTCACCCTAACCGGGCGTCTCCTATGACGTTTAACGTCACACCAACCTTAACTTTATCCTATTTCCAACCACTTGCCTCTACGCCCTCCCAGGTCTTACCAACGTTTCGCAACTTTTTTTTTAATCACACAAAGGCCACTATAATTTACCTTGAGGTGAGCGTATAAGTGAATACAAACAGTAAGCATTAACATTTACAACAAAATGGACAACACAAATAGACATACTTACCTTGTCTATCTGAGTCGCAAAACCGCCACACCAGTTTGAATCTATTTCCAATGAAGTATCGCGACACGAGACTGCGTCACCGAGACTTGTGCCTGATTGGCCAAGCAGGTGATGAGCCAGCAAAGCCCAAGAGGTGGCTGTAGATAAGGGGGGATTTCATGGGAAATATGCTTATATTTCACGGTCACCTTTTTCGTGCTGAAGAATACAAGTACACCGGTAGCGCATCATCAAATTGCTTACAAAACATGATGCATAAAAAGCTGTAAAGATCGTTACATGTACTTCTGTCGTGAGATCTCTAGTTTGTTTCAATGATAAACCCCAGAGGGTTGCAGCTGAATGCCAACAAATTAATTTTTTATTGCTTAACTATCAAGTAAGGACAAAATAATAATAAAAAAAAATTGTAAAAGTGCAATAATATCTGCAAAAAATAGAAATTATTTGTCAGTCAGCCTGTGAGATATAAGCTATTGACATTCATATTTATAAATACAGTAAAGCAACAGAAATTCCCACACATCAATATTCATAGAACCATCTTTCTCCATATTATTTAAACATATAAAGAACTGCACACAAAAAGCATACACACTATTGGATGTAGATATTAGAAATGCAAGTTTTATAGCAGGTCCTTTTTAAATCAAATGTGAATAAGACACTTGTGTATATCCTGTTTTTCATGTTAGTTTTACATTTCATTGGATAACCTCTTACAATAATCACTAAGTTAAATTATTAATAGATACCTAATAATAATAATAATATAATAAAATGAATAAAAAGATGCAAACTTTGTGCAAAAAACTATTTTGTTCCACACCTGTGTTTTTGCCCCACTGTAGAGCTGCAGCTGCTCTCTACTTCACTGTAATGCTCTGGTTATTTTCTAAGCCTTAATAAATTATTAGTACATTGTGTTTTTGGTGCTATAACCCCCGACCCATTTTTAGTACTTTTCCAGCAGTAAGTAGCTGCCACACTTACATGATGTAATGCCAAGGTCAACAGAATACAATCCTGAACACTGTAGAGTTTGTATAGAACAAATGCATATGGTACATAGTGAGATTATACGACTTCAGTTTAATCAACCCATCATCGCATTCAGTTCATGTATTACACTCTACCCACACTTCCATATAGTTCACACTAGATTTTTACATGACTTTTAATTGAACATCAGTATATCAGTCCATTGACCAGCCTCCTGTCATCACATTCACTTGGAACAGAAACACTAGACAATGTTTCCACATGTTTGGTCAATAGATGGTTTTCCTGGTGTGTTTTTACAGAAACAAAGAGTGTTAATATTATCTTTGATGAGGAATCATACATCTGCTTTGTTCTCATATTTACAGTAAACACACTGCGTTCTTCTCAAGCTGCAGCAATGGAGGCGTCATCCAGCTGTCGACCCTGAGGCTGAGGAGAAAGAGGAGAAAATTATGCTTTGGAACAACGTTAAATATCAACAGCTGAGGTGAGCTGCTCAGCCAGTGGTCTGTGAAAATCTTTGTGTGTGCGTTACCTTGACAAAGATGCGATGAGGCAGGAAACGTCTGAGTGTGTGTGAGTTGGTGGTCGGGCAGCGGGGCAGGCTGATGTTGAGCTGTGGTAGTGTTTGGTAACCAGCCATCAGCGGGTAGTAGTTATACAGAATCTGCTGCTCTGAGCCAGGGAGGATACGGAGACGCACCTGCACACGCATGTGGACACGGACACGGACGGACACACACACACACACACACACACACACACACACACACACACATAGTTGAAATGTATCTTCTTACTTATCCATGCATTTGTTATTCTTTCAGTTTCTACAGGGTAATAAAGGCTGTGCCAGTTAAACAATACTGGTTACAATATCACAATGTATCAAAGTTCACAATATATAATTTTTTCTTTAGTTCAGACCAAAGGAACAGAATAACAAATGTGGACCAAACCTCAGTGTGTTGAAGAGTAGCTACACCCTAAATATTTTTATTGCGCTTTACCAATATCTCAGTCTGGTTGGCATATGATGCTGACACTGTAAAAACAGCTTTTTCTGCTTAAATGTAGCTGTTTTCTATGTCCTTCCTAAGGTCTCAAGCCCTGAACCCTCAGAAATGTCACCTGTAAGTAATTGAAGGCAAGAGTCTGTAAGGGCCAGAAACTGTATAAATAGGAATGGGACAGCACTTTGTGACTTTGGCTATCACATCACCATGACAACACCAAAAAAACCCATGGTTTTAATTATTGTGGGTTTAGGTTTTTTTATTTTTTGTTTTTCACTCATGGCCAAGACACTTCAGAGACTGACTGGCTGATTTGAACATGATCCAGGCTCTTACCTTACAAAGTGGATGAGGGGCAACTGTTAATTACCTAATCAATGTAACATATGTTTTTGTTAAAACAGCATCAATAAACAAAGAGATAAATAGCTGATGAATGAAATAGGTGCATAACAATACAGGATGTTTATGTTAAAGTTAGGCTAGTGTTTAGCAGATGCTTTTGTCCAAGGTGACATTAGATTAACATCAGTTAACATAAGAATGTGTTGTTTTTTTTATTGTTTACTTCTTTATTTTTCTCATCTCCGTTTTATGCCATTTGTTCACATTTTTACGTTTCCTGCCTTCACCCGATAGGCTAATCCCATGTTTCACATCACAACGCAATGAACTGTGGGGAATTCCATCAGGTAAAGTCTGCAGAAGTGGCTGCAGAAGAGCTCTCGTGCACTTGATGATTTGACACTAACTCACCGGGAGCATGTCTTGGCGGTCAAAGGTCTACAGGCCCTTTTCACGGTGCCCTTAAGGGCAACACATACAGGAAGAATCAGGAAATACTAATTACTGTTATTAGCATCACAGTTAATGTCAGAATCCATGTCATACTGTCATTATCTCCTCAGTAACTGGAGACCAGTACTGTACTGACAGAAGATCATCAAATCATCTGCCTACATGCAGTTGTTAATGAGAGAATGACCAATCTTACACCCTGTTCCACATCCATTTAACTGTGCTGCCAAACCATCAGATGTGTTCATGAAACATGTATATTAGTTTTGCGCCAGCTGATGGAAATGCAGCTACATCACCTTTTGTTTGCCAAATCTTTACTTAACAGTGAACAAAGCTATACCTGTTTGAGTCCAGAGAACATGAAGGCATCAGAAGGTTCAACAGCCATCTCCACCTCTTGCACCAGAGCTGTTCTGTTTTCTATGTGGTAACGAACTGGAAGAGACTCTCGGACTCGCCCAAATGATGGTAAATCTACACCAGAGGACAAGACAGGTAGAGTCTTATAGACCCAAAATAGAGGATGACTTTGAAAATAGAGCCTTTTCTTTTTTCAGACTTTAGGTCCAATAACAGATTAAACTAAACATAAACCTAACTTGTGAAAGAACAGTTTCATGTAAATCACTTTAGATAAAAATGTCATAAAGAAACATATAAATGTGCACATTATGTGTTTATTCATGTAAACCATGTGTATCCTGACCAGCATGGATATAGAGAGGGACAGTCTCCAACATGATGTGAGGTAACGTGATAGTAGTCTGGATAAGAGGACTGTCTGCAGTCGCGGACTTTCTGTAAAACACCGTTACAAACAGTTAAGAGATGTACGAGCTTGTTCAAACCCACTGATCACTCAGCTACAGCCTCTCAGTATGTGTGTGCGTGTGTGTACATACCTCTTCCATGATATCAGATACTGTCCTGTAGCCACAGTGTTAATGCTGCTGGTTAGTGGAGGACATCGCAGACAGAAGCACTCACTGGCACACTCACCTGTCTGCAGAACCACTGAGCACACACACACACACACACACACTATGTTACAGCCATGTACTTTACAGCTAATTTATATCTATGACTCCACAAATGTTTTTCCCAAGAGAACTTTTCAAAGTGGCCGGGTACCTTCCTGCAGCTGGGACTGAAGCTGCGGTGTGTTGCTGGTCATAGTAAGCAGTTGCAGAGAGGAAGAGGCCAACAGAAGAGGCCAGGGAGACGAGGAAAGGATGTCTGTCATCAACAGGAAGGGGATGTCCACGGCTATTCGTTCCAATGGCTCGAACTGCAATCACACAGACATCCAGGCATAATAATACCACTCCTTATACTCTCACAGCTAGAAATCAAGGATGGTATGTCTGCTACAAAATCACCATTACCACCATCCAACGACCCACTATGTAAACCAGCCATGTACATCCACACTGTCATGATTTTCCTTCCAGTTCTTTCTGAAGAACACTGCTAATGGAGTAAATAAATTGAAAAATAGATAATTACACACCTTGGTAGAAACAAACTTCACAGACACCTCGAATGGGACCACTGTCTCTATGGTAACCGTCTCATCCTGAAAACAAAAGAACAAGAAATTAGTAAACCAGGTCAGAAACAAAATTTTTAAAAACACACTGCAACACATGAAAACCACTAAACACTGTCTATGGGACATGGACACAGTGTCAAGTGTTATGACTGGCAGCTGGAGGAGAAGGAGCTTCTCTACCTTATGACATTTGCAGACAATCTGTTGTCCCTCCACTGAGGTATCGATGCTGTAGGCCACATGGAACAGGAAGACCCTTGATCCGGTCGACACACACCTCACACATACACATCTCTCCAACTGGAGACAAACACACAGAAACCGAGTTACTACTTTCCACTGCAGGGAGGCTGAAAGTGTAGGCAGTTGTGCACACAGAGAAGTTACAATGCACAAAATGTTGTGCTATACGAGTTTCTTAGGACATTTTCTTTTGAATGTGAGCGTACCTTTTCACCTGGTTTCAGATCTCCCAGGGGTACGTCAGGGAGTAAAGCAGGTGCAGTGTCGTCACAAACCTTTGAGCCATCAAGTGTCACATGTGTGGTCTGTCCTAGAGTGGCATCCTGGCCTGGACCACCAATAAAGACAGACAAAATCATATACTGTACACTGATGTTAAGCTGTTCATTTGAAAAAGCAGCAGTTTAAGTATCATAATAACTGAAATCGTATTCAGTTGCTGTACCAGACAAAGAACTATAATATATCCTTTAATAATGTTTTACCATTGCTGTGGAAAGATGAGTTAGTTAGAATAGTTCAGTAATTTGCAAAGTATCAAGTTCCTTTCTGAGCGCAACACGGTGTGATCGATATCAGCCTTTTGTCTGTGTGTTACATACAGAGCTGAAGTCAGGATGTGGTTAGCCTAGATTAGCATATAGATTGGACAAAACTAGACCATTATACTTGGGAATATAATGGTGTTTTTCCTCTGCTTGTTATGGGTATACCTGGTTTCAGGCCAGCTGTCAGTTTGACATCCTTGGCCACGCTCTCCTCCTGTGACTGGATGGTGAGGCAGATGCAGTACATTTCATTGTTAAGTGCAGGAGGCTGATGGCTCAGTTGAACAGATATCTTCGGGACTCTGGAGATGATCCTAAACATACAAAAACAGATGGACATTTCCCATTCCTGTTGATTTCAGTGTGGACAAGAACTGATACTGTGGAAACTGGCATGCAATGTAATAACTTTTCCAGAAATGCTGGGGTTGTGTTGCGTTTCAGCCAAGCCTTACATGGTGCTTTGCTGCACAGTCAGGCTGTCCCAGTCCAGCTCTTGTCGCATCTCAATGCCCCTCCCCCATCGACGTGATGACCTGCTGGCCTGCAAGGCTTCGTGGGTGGAGGCTGCATCTCCACCTGCCCCTCTCCAGCTCAGAAACACACAGCGGCCTCTGACACTGCCCAGCATCACCTCAATACCTGTCATCTAAACAAGCACAGAGTCAGCAACAATGTATCTCTCTTTCAGACACATACACAAACTGATAAACATGGCTCACCTCGATCTTCTTCCCAACATCTTCAGTCTTTGCTACAAAGCTGAAGTTGTAGCATTTGGTCTTTCCTGGCAACAAGCTCATACTCTCCTGACCTGATGACTCCACCACACACCACTGGTTGTACTCCTGCATACAAACACATGATTTTTTTTTTTTTTTGCCTTAGACGAGGTCCTGAAACATGTTAGCAAATAAAAGACAAAGTAGGCTTATGTAGTACTTGTATGAATGTTTAGACCATGCTCATACATGTGTCCTAAACAGAGTACAGCTATTGGTTGTACAACATGGAACAGTTAAAATAAGATACTGACATTTTATTAGGTACAGTCATATTATGTTTATGAAGGTTCTGTAGCACCAAAACTAAGTTATCTGAATGTCCTTTTCTACAGAATAATACCGTATGTCCTGTTTGTGCCCATTGAGATAGCAAGGCTTTATTTGTACCTTGCTGTATGTTCTGTGTACCTGATTGCTGAGGCTGACAGCCAGCTTATTAAATGTTACAGGATGAGGACAGTCAGCTCGGAGGAAGACCTGTAGCTGGATGGGCTGGTCTACATGGAAACTGGGAGAGTGGAATTTGGCCTTACACTGGACTGGAGCCAGAAGGAGAAAGCACAGTCAGCAACAGTTATTATTTCCAGCTTCTATAATTAGCAGCTACGTGAGTTAAACAGAACATTTCTTCAGTCATCATTATTTGATAACCTTCATGTAGCTGAAAGGCGTGGTGGAAAGTAAATCAAGAGTGCATTGTTTAGAAATGTGAACAGCTGCTTTGGGTGAATATGTGAATACTAACTGAATGGTATGTAGTCCTGAACTTCTATAGTGAACTCATTCAATCCAGCTAAAGCCATTCGGTCGTTCCACAGTGACCTGGCTGAGCTGACAGAAGACGGATCACACTCCGGCTCAGCATCAGGGACCTCATTCTAGTGGAATGAGAGAAAGTTAGAGAAGTAAAAGGATAGGAAATGATGGTTGACCTGGGCCAAGTACAAGCCAGATGAAGTACAGTAAAAGACTGTCAGAGAAAATCTATTTCAATCAGAACCCAATTTCACGGACTAACATTATAACATGTAAAATATCTAACATGCCATGTTAGTTCTGTTAAATTAAAAGGAAATATTTAGTTATTGACTTGATGGCCTTTGGTTTACAGAAGACTGTGGATCCAGATGGGTTTCATCTACTCACCATCAGGACTTTGATGAGATTCTTCTCGATCCTTGACTTTTGACCCTCCTTTAGTGTTGAAGCTAGAGAACAAAACTCTACTGTTAGCTTTTCCAGAGGTAACTGAACCGGTTGTTTTTATTATGCAACTATCCACAAGGTTGTCTTTAAATAGATCAGAACAGCCCTCAGCACAATAACTTGTAAATATACCACTGTATATATATATATATATATAGGACTGCACTCTTCTGGACAGAGATCTCAGATGTTGTTCCTGGGATCTGTTGGAGCCACTCTCTCAGTTTGGGGGTCACAGCCCCCAATGTTCCTATTACCACGGGGACTATTGTGCCTTCGCCTTCCACATCTTTTCTAGCTCTTCTTTCAGCTCTTGGTATTTTTCAAGCTTCTTGTGTTCCTTCTTCCTGATGTTGCTATCACTTGGGATTGCTACATCTATCTCTACGGCCTTCATCTTCTGTTTGTCCACCACTACTATGTCCGGTTGGTTGGCCATTACCAGTTTGTCAGTTTGTATCTGGAAGTCCCACAGGATCTTTGCTTGGTCATTCTCAACCACCTTTGGAGGTGTATCCCATTTTGACTTTGGGACTTCCAGCCTGTACTCGGCACAGATGTTTCTGTACACTATCAGGATGCTGGGCTTGGGGTAAAACCCGCCGTGCATTGTAAGGAGCTTCCTTGTCTTGATGTCAGTGGCCTCTATCTCCTCCTTTGGCCAGCTTATTATGCCAGCAGGGTACCTGATGACCGACAGGTGTTAATTGCCCAGACTTTGCTCTTTCCATTCAGCTGGCTTCTCAGGACTTGCCTTACTCTCTGCAGGTACTTGTTGGTTGCTGCTTTGCTTGCGGCCTCTTTATGGTTCCCATTTGCCTGCAGGATCCCAAGGTACTTGTAGCTGTCCTCAACATCTGCTATGTTGCCTTCTGGTAGTACAATCCCCTCAGTTCTGACTACCGTCCCCCTCCTTGTTACCATTCGACCACACTTATCCAGTCCGAATGATACAGTATTCCAATGTCCTGGCTGTAAATCCTAGTGGTGTGGATCAGTCAGTCGATGTCTCGTTCACTCCTGGCATACAGCTTGATGTCATCCATGTAGAGGAGGTGGCTGATGGTTGCTCCATTCTGTAGTCGGCATCTGTAACTGCTCTTGGTGATGATCTGGCTGAGGGGGTTCAGGCCTATGCAGAACAGCAGTGGGGACAGAGCATCTCCTTGGTAGATACTGCACTTGATGTTGACTTGTGCAATTGGCTTGAAGTTGGCCTCTAGGGTTGTTTTCCACATTCCCATTGAGATCTTGATGAAGGCTCTTAAAGTCCTGTCGATGTTGTACAGTTCCCAAGCATTCCAGGATCCATGTGTGAGGCATTGAGTCATAGGCTTTCTTGTAGTCAATCCAGGCAGTATCCATAGGTCCCACATCCTCCGTATGTAACCCCTCTCGCTGGAGTTACTTGTATAGTAGCATTCCAATAGTTCCCTGTTTGCCTCTCTTGTCCATAAATGTCTTCCAGTAGCCCACTTCTCATCAGGTTGCCCTGGTTCCTCAACACCTGACACGCACCTTGTTGACCCGAGTGACGTCCCAGCCGGTGTGACTCTTGTTTTTCCAACTCTCATTGCCCCATGAGGTAGGCAGGTAGCATTAAGGGCCTTGCCTAAGGACCCAGGCGGGATATTGACCGTGCCCTGACCGAGTCACTGTACCGGAGTCAAATTCCTCATATATTCAACATACCAGGTCAAGAAAATTGATTCTCATCAAAATAAAATTAATTTCTAAAAAAGAAACATTTATTAACTGTAATTTTAGCAGGTAAACTGCCAGTCCAGAGTAAACAAACATACAGGACAGAGTAGAGGAGGGCTGGAATGCAGGATGAAAAAAACTGAAGCAAATAAAATTCATCTTGCCATGTGTAAACAAAAAAGGTTCACAGATGAACGCATGCATCCACATTCAGAATAACACAGCTGAACTTGCAGGTTGCAAGGTCTTAATAGACAAAGTGGATTTCCTTTACCCTACCCCAGGTAGCCACTGATAGTTCTCTGTCTGGCTGTAGTCATGCTGCTTACCTCTGCCCAGCAGCTCCATACAGTATATGATGTAGTCTTTAACACTGGCCATCAGGTAAGCACAGCGGAGAGCTGTGGTCAATATGGCTGTCAGGAGACCCCACCACCGCTCTGTGCGATAGTCACACATCACATAGTCCAGCAGCCTGGAAACATAATCACACATACACACACAGTCATTTTGCAGGTATCTTGCTTAAAGAGAGAAAATTAAAAAAAAAAAAAAAAAATCTCCATGCAACTGCATTGGTGGGTTTAAAGACGCTATGGAGATTTTGACCACTAGTAGCACTATAGAGCAGTGATTTTAGGAACAGGTCCCTGTTTTGTTTGTCTTGTACATATTCACTCAAAGTCTCATGGGCACATACAAACAACTGTGTGCATACGGGTAGTGCGTCCACATCTTTCCACTGGTTTCCTGCATGAATAAACCTCAAAAAGACTGTGAAGAGACAGCTAAGTTATCAATGCACAGTTAAATATGCCCAAAGCTGGGTGAGTATTGATGTTAAATGGTGTTTAGACCTGTCAATAGGCCCCATAGTGAGTATGAGGCCATGCCATCATTAATCTGTTGGACACCATGGCTGGCACACAGCGCTCTAACCTTAATCTGCAGCACCTTTGGCCTAATCCAACATAACCTACCCCACCTACCTTCACCCAATCAAAGGGTAATTACTCAGCAGCTTGAGCCAGCCTCATATCTACATTGTATCTGTTTAGGTTAAGCTGCTGAGAGACATGAATGTAAACAAGACTTTAGTAAATCACAATGTTTGCAAGGAGGCTGCAAATGTTTAATGAGTAGGGTATGCATTCAACTTGTTTGTTAAGCCTCAAGGATGCACACAATGTACATATTCCTTTCAGAATCTCTCCTTTAACAAATACCCACCTATCAGCCAAAAGCATGAAGTCTGCACAAATTAACTATAGCTGTGCTCAAGAGTTTGGGGGGAGTAGGACGTCAAGGTGTTTACATGTATCTCAACATTTACATTAAAATATACCACAGAGCATAACTGTCATTTACACAGAAGCACATCTTCTTCCTTACTTCAGGGCTTTGGTGTAGTCTTTAGCATGGTAGTATTCCTCTCCCATCTGCACCACTAAGACACAAACAGAACATTTGTGTGACAAGGTTAAACAAAGGGCTACTGTGACATGTAAAATCTTAAGCGTAAGAAAATAGTCCTTGAGGAAGAAAACAAAAAAAGAATTTGCAATAGAGATCACCAATCATATTACAAAGAGTATGTGATGTCTTCTCTCATTTTCTGGAAAGGATACTAAAAATGAGCTCTCCTCACCGTGCAGTCACAAACGGCCGCCTGCTGTGTCAAAGCGTGACATTAACTTCTACATGTGAAAAGGAGAATGCTACAGGAAAAGGGGCTGACACTGACTGTAAAATGTGGTGCAAAATACAGTGGAATCAACTGTAGAGTATTCAATAAAAATAGCAGTGAAATTCAGCATGCCTCATGTTGTTGTAGGATGCTTTGGAAGCCCCTGCAGGGCTACTGGAAGCTTTCAAGAACCCGAGGAGATTAGGAGAGTATGCTGATACTCACTGAGATGGCTCTTCATTCGAGGGCACTTGTACTTCTTAAACTGGGCGACAGCATTACTGAGAAGTGCTATTATCAGCTCCTACAGGGACAGAGTCAGGGAAAGGGGTAGGTTTTAAGTACAATGCAACCTGAAATACATGCATCAGGGACTTCTTGATCACAAATTTAACAACAGTAGGTGCATCTTTCTGAAGAAGTCGCAGAAGTGTATGCTCCTGATACTTGGAATATTGTTTCTTGAGAAAAATGTTGATATTCATTCTGTCATGTTTTCCTAGGGAATAAAGTGCCTGCTTAACTTATAAATATGTGAAGTTCAGCTGGTTAAATTTAGGAAGACATTCAATTCCCACTATGACTACTTCAGGAGCACCGCAGGACTGTGCAAGCTCACCTCTACTTTTTACATTAGATACAGATGATTGTAAAACCGATATTCTAAATACATTTATCTTGATGTTCTTTGATGACACCACATTGTTGTCTTTGTTCGGCTCTGAAGATGATTCTGGGATTCATCATCAGTACTGTATGGACAGGATAGTGAAATGGTGTGATGAGAGCTCATTTATTATCAATCCCAGAAAGACACAAGAAATCCTTTTTGGTCTTCTACTGAATCTTATCTTGTACCACTGTCCATAACACACTGACTGAACAAGTATACTCCTATAAGTATTTAGGTGTCTATGTGGATGCTGCTCTATCCTGGAGCACACATACAGTTTGTCATTGACAATGTACAACAGCACATTTATTTTTTAAGGAGACTTAGGTCATTTGTAAAAACAGAGAAAATCTAGTGTCATTTCTCCGCTCCACTCAGGCCTAAAATTCATTAGTCCCACTCCACATGGTGTCATCTAATTCGCTGCAGTAACCATGCGGCCATGCTCGGCAGACAGAACCCTCAATGTGAACAGCAGTTCAGGGGAGAGAGCCCCACCCCTCAAAGCCCTCCCCTCCATGCCAAAACAGTGACAGAGAAATGAAAGAAAAACTATGGCATTGAAACTAATAATACTTTAATACTATTAATACTTTATTAATGCCAGTGTTTGTTTGTTGTTGTTTTTTTATTTATACAGATGCTTCAACAGCAATGTTTACTTTTTCAGTTATGGTTTTGTTTTCAATGCCAAATTTTATTTTTCAATGACAAAGACTAAAGTCATCGAACTGGCACCAATTTTTTTTCTAATTTTGATGTTTCCATCACCTTTTTCTGATGCAATACTTCAAAAACCCAGCTGATGAAACAGTGAGTCACAATTATGTCAGAGGTACAGTGGAACCTCGGTTTTCGTATGCCCCAGTTTTCTTATGATTCGGTCTTTCGACGACTTTTTTTTCGTAGAAAATTTGTCCCAGTTTTCGTACATCCCCTCGGTTTTCATACAGTTGATTGTTCGGTTCAGCGTCATTAGTCCGTACCAAACTCGTCCGCCTGCCCGCGTGACTCGGCCACTCATTTCCCGGAGGAAATGAGTGAAGGGAAGTAAGACCAGATAGGGCCTTGATACATGAAGTCCTTATGGAGGGGGATTCCCCTTCCAAACAATAACCTCTCCTCCTCCCTCTCCCCTCCTCGCCATCTTCCATACACCAACAAGAGTCTTCAATAAAGGTAAAAGTGATGTTAAATGTTCATTTATCCATTTCATTAGTCATTTATATTTATTTCTCATTGTTTCCTGTATTTAAAAATATAGTTATTCTCTATAAAATGTATTTTTTGTTAATATTTTTGGGTGTCTGGAACGGATTAATTGGATTTACATTATTTCTTATGGGAAATATTGCTTCAGTTTTCGTACGATTCGGTTTTCGTCTGACTTTTTCGAACGGATTAATCACGAAAACCGAGGTTCCACTGTATGTATATTGAGTGAGTGTGAATACTTACAGAATGTGGCACACCTCTTTCTTTAATCTGCAGGGCCAGAATCCCTGTCTTCTCCTTCTCTGCATCTGGAGGATCAATACCTAGAAGTACAAACAACACAGAGGTCATTTTAACTTGAACTATGAGTGGGATCGTGCACATGCTGTGCCATACCATAATCATTTAGGCAATATTCAACCTGCCTAAACGCTTGCTTACTATCTTGTTAAAAGGAGAAGCCGTTCTCCTTATAACAAGACACTTTGTGTTTTTGAGATACGTTCACATTAAAATGTTATTTTGACATAATGTATCTTCTCCTTCTAACAACATAGGCTACTGTATTTTCTCATAATAATGTGAGCCCTGCACAGCTTGGAGTGAGCGCAGCGCGCACACTTACTTTCAGCTCATTCAGTTCAGGAGCCTCTCTCATCATCACCTCCCATTTCAGCGTGACCAGCGTTGTGCTTAGAATGTACACTCCAGCTGGTCCTTGAGAATCACTGATCTGACACTTAAATCCATGCACAATAATTAGGCCACAAAGTAACACATGAATGCAGCTCATGAGCAAACACCCTGCACATGTCCCGATGATGTTTCAGGCATTACCGACAACAGTTGAGGTCAGCGTGGCTGCTGTTACTCACACCAAGCTGCACAGGCTCACATTAGGTAGTAGAAATGATATGATCCATTTTTGGGGGGTGTGATATCATATTAGATCAGGCCATACATTTGAAACTACCTACTGTATGTTAACCATCCAATGAATGCCAGACACAGCGGCCTAATACCCGAGCAAAGATGCGCACGGTGCTTACAGGGTTAAGGCTGCTCATCCAGCTATATACTGTAACTTTCCACCATTAACTGGAGGGTTCATTGTTCAGCTCTGTGAATCACACAGGCCAACCCGCCCTCACCCCCTCTAGGCTGTGTTCAGACAGACTTTCACTCTATATAAAATGAAAAACACAGCCCTTGTCATTCATTTGACTGGGGGAACAGTGCTGATGCAGCGAAGAGTGGGGTATCACTGAGGGGTCATTCAAAATGACACTGCTGTGCAGCAAAAAAAAGTTGGATCTGGTTCAACTTTTTCTGCAATGCAACATGGTGTCCTCTAGCAAGGTGTTGCACTGGCAATCAGGTCCATGTAAGTGTCCATTCCTGATGGATTACATTGTAACGTGAACAGTGAATTTCTACTGTTTACCTTGAGATCGTCACGACCAAAAATAGAAAAGCTGTAACTGTGATAACTTGATGATGTCACTATTGCCATCACTCTACTGCCACTGGAGCCGTCCAAATAGAGCACAACAGAGCAAACATGGATTTGACAAACATAGCTTTTGTTTTGGCTTCCTTTTATTTCCTTAAAATGTGCTGCCATCTCCTCCTTCTTTCTGTTTTAAAGAGCGCAGGCCTCCTTCTTCAGCTGAGACATTTCCTACTGCCAATCATAATTCAGACATCTGAGCTGGGGTGGAGTAATGCGCACTAGGACTTGCTTCTGAGCAGCACCAGATATCATGTCTTTCAGCCCGGGCACCATCTGTTTCTGAGACAATAGTGGCAGTGGAATGATAGCATATGTTGTCCTCTAAATGACATCATCCAGCACCTTTTTTAAAATGACATATTCCCTCATTAGACAAACAGTGTGTGGGCCTACTCTGGTGTCCTTGTCTCCATGGTCTCTGTCCATAGAAGTCCAGTACTCCGCTCTGGGTATCCAACGGGTCAGGGGAGGGATAACTCGTTCCGCTCTACAACCATAAACCCTTAACTGGTCATTCTGCTTATATGAGTAAGGTACAGCAGTATCTGTCATTCATATCAGGGTTAAGGTAGTAAATAAAATGTGTGTTGAATGTTTCTGCTCTTTCAGTTTACTGAGATTTACTGAGAGCCAGGACACAGTAAACAAGCAGTGTATGTGTAAATTATTAGTAGCATTATTGTATATTTGTATTACTGGCAACAGTAACAGTTATAGCATAACAGTAATTGAAGTAATATCTTCTGTAGTGGTAGTACTAGCAATGGTAGCAGCGTGGTACTACTGGTAGTTTTAGCAGTGGCAGTATTCTCACCTGACAGAGCTGCTGTGCCAGCTGCTTCCTGTCCTGACTGTAGCAGGCAGCCTGCTGGTAGTAGAAACCAGGGTTCTGAGTCTGGATGGCTGTCAGACCCAGCTTTATTGCTTCATCAAACAGCTCACCGAAGGACTGGAACCTGACAGCAAATACACATTAAGGGACAGGAGGAAGCGCTGAGGGTCCTGACTGACTTTGGTCACAGTGTCTTTAAAATTTGCTCTGTCTTCACTGAACATTTTATATGAGTATCTACAAGGACGAAAAACAAGGTGACTGAAGCACAAACATATGTATATATGAAATCAAGCAGGTGGTTTTATGTGTGTGGATCTTACTGTTTAGACATCCATGCAGCATGCTCAAAGGCCAGCTCAGCACTGCCAATCTTCTTCTTACACAGGTCAATGTGCTTCCTAAACTGGGCTATAGCATCTAGAGGAGTGTTGTGCTGGAAGCACAGGCGACAGATCTACAGAGACCAAAACAGAGAGAGACATTAAGAGAGAAAGATGGAAAGAGTACTGTAGTATAAATACATTTGTAATCATCAATATGTGATATTTTCAGACATTTGTGCTCACATGTTAAATTTTATTATAAATTTTATTTGTTTATTCTGAATGCTAAATAAAAGCTCCAGCTTTTATTAACTTCCAAGCTGTTAAAAATAATCTGAGCTGAAAATAAGCACTCCCAGTTGGAAGAAAGAACAGCACTGTGTCTGGCCACACCTGCCTTTATCAGCATCTATGCAGCAAAAAGCTACAGGCCTACATTTTTTCCACACATCACAAAACACATAGTTATGCTGAATGTTTAGCATTTTGTTGTGGGGTCTAACATGAATGCTTTTACTGATGTCATTCTAGACAAATCAGTCTAGTCAAGACGGCCTCTGAAGCAGCTCAGGTCAGGTGGTGCATAAATTTTGTGATATGGTAGAAAACAACATTTTAATACATATGCCTAAACACATCAGCCATAATAACGTAATGTTACTGCATCGTACTGTTTTTTCACCTGTCACTCTGCCAGCTGCAGAGGAGAACCTTTTCACTCACCAAGACAGATAGAAATGTACCTTATAGTTGATGAACCCAGCCATAGTCTTGATCTCCAGCATGTTGGTCTCATGGGCTCTGAGCTCATGGATAAGACTGTATGCTGTTTTGTAGTACCTAAGGAAAAACACACACACAATTACACTCAGAAGGAGCCCAGGTACAAACTGGAATATGTTGCTATGCTTCACAGGGGTGTTTGCTTCTGTAGCCATCTGAGAATGATAAGCTTGTGTAAAGAGCAACCATTTGCTGAGTCTATTTTGTCTGAAAAAACAAATAAAAAATATTTTCCCACAACTATCTTGACAGCTGGTTGGAAATGCTGCTGCTGTTTCATCAGAATCAGAATCAGCTTTATTGGCCAGGTGTGTCGGACACACGAGGAATTTGACTCTGGTACAGCGGCTCCCATTGTGTACATACATGTCAACAAGCAAGGGAATGTGCATTAAGAAAGAGAAAAAAAAGGTACTTAATGAAATTCTAACAGGAGCTGATCGCAGCAAGGTATCAGTAGCAGTCTGTGACCTCAGACTTACTTGAGAGCATTCTGGGTGTCCTGTTTCAGCTCACTGAAGAAAGCGATTTTAAACTGGTGTCTGACAAACAGCAGCTGGGAACACCAGGAGGTGGAGAAGAGGAGGCAAAGAAAGATAAAGGAGAAACATATATGGCATTTCAAAGTTGCTTATAAGCAATGTTGTATTACCTTCAGGTTTGCCTTCAAAGCTGAGCAGCACTGTGTGTTATGCTGCATTTACTGGACAATTTATTGCTCACCACCTTTTTGGGTGTGTTGTGGGTGCACATACCTGATGTGTGGTCTTGTTAAGGAACTCCTTGTGTGATTTGACACGACGAATCTCAGTGTAGTAGTACGTCTGAGCATGCTCATAGAAGGCATTCTCCAACCTGCAGAATACTAATCATTAGATGAACTGAACCAGTAAGGTGCAATGCCTGTAACTTCAGCTTCCAAATAAGGTTACCCTTGCCCCACTGGTGCCCATGCAGTATTTATAACTGGTACCTACCTTATAATGTAGCCCACTAAGTGATCAGTGTGCGGCAGTACAAAGAGACTCTTGCCAGACAGATCACAGGCATTACAAAGAGCTGAGGCTCTCTCTGATGCAACCAGGTCCTCTCCTGTACACACATAAACAAAAATGAGGGTGCAGGTTGGTAAAGACGCCAGTGATAAACAGAGAAGACTACTAAGGTTGTGTTCTCAACACAGCAAACGTACAACAAAACTAAATTTATCAGCTATTCTAACTATTTCACCAGCAGGCAAAGTTTTCAGTTTTTTTTTATTTTACATAAACATTACTAAAGTTAGTAGAGCTTAGATGCTGTCTACACAAAAAAGTTTGTAAACTTTTTAAATAAAGGTGTGGACTGCCCATCAACCTCAAGGTGTAACCATCAGTCTTTACAACATGTGGAACCACTGTTTATAAAACATACATCACAGTTTTTTACTGCTACTGTTCAAAAAGTGAGACCGAGATACTTTGGAGATTCACTGTGAAACTTATGTGGATGGGATAGGACACATGATCACAACCTAATATGAATCTTTACCTGGAGGCAGAGGGGTTTTCTTCTGGATCAGAACCACAGCCACCTTGGTGTTCCTGCTCTGAAGACTGGTCCTAAAGACAAACAAACACAACGGCAGATTAAATTTAGTGTAATCATGTTTCTGGTAGGGGTGTGCAGGACAATGTCAGCTATATAAAACCCAGTCCATTCCCAGTTCCTGCTTGTTTATTCCAGGTATGACAGCTGTCAAGGGGCGTTCAGCACCAACGTCAGTGAACACCTGAACAGGTTCTGAAACATTTCTTGTATGCAACAATAACAGGCTTCCATCAGACTTGCAAGGACTGGCATTTACAGTATAAGAGTGAGTATTTTGTTAATGAATGATGGCAGTCATGACCCTTCTAAAAACATTTTAGTGAAACAGAAATGTTGAAAATCCATGTGACAATTTGTACCTGATCCCAGCAACCAACCCACAGAAATTACAAACAGACCCACACACATACAGCATATGGAAAGAGTTCAGGCCTAAACAAATAAAATGTACCAATCATACCTGAAGCAGCTGCCTCACTGGCAAAAAAAAACCTTTTCTGAGGGAAAATAAAATGTATACCTACCTGACAATCTCCACTTTAGTGGCACATTCAGACTGTTTCTCCTTCCATTGGGGGTCATCCCAGTCCAGTTCATAGAAGAGAACAACCAAAGCAGGTACCAGATTGAGATGTTTATTCATCCAACCTGTTTTCAGGATGCCTTTGGGAATGTACCACTCATAGGAAGTTCGCTACACAGAGAGACAGAAAAGACAAACATCTTTAGAAACAATAAGGAATACAGACTACATATATAATACTGCTCATGCATAAAAAACAAACTTCACAATATTTTTGTTTTGATGTTTTCCACATCTTAACACTGATATAGTAAGCTCATCTGAAAATGAGCCTATGCAAACAGTAATGATGTTACGTTTGACACCAAAGCTTCAGAGCTTGTGTCGTTTCCCTGGTTGTCACATGACTAATGACAAACAAGACCTTGTTTTTCCCAGAATCATGTTTCATTTTGCACTTTGAGTGGATTGAGTAAAGCCTCATCCATGTGCATGACTCTCTCCACTTCTATCAGCATATTGTGCACCACTAGTAGCATGACACTTGTCAGTCTGTTATGAAATAGAGACACAAAGAAAGGACTTCCCTTATTTGTGAGCATTTTGGACTGACTCTTATTTCTAAATATTCAGTAACAACTACCCTCATTTGTTACATAGGCACATAGAGCCTTGTCATCCCAACAGAGCACTTTGCTCTCAGAGTGCAGGTCTACTTGTGGTTCCTAGAGTCTACAGAAAGTGAATGGGAGGCAGAGCCTTTAGCTATCGAGCTCCTCTCATGTGGAACCAGCTCCCAGTCTCAGTTCGGGAGGTGGACACCCTCTCTACCTTTAAGATTAGACTTAAGACTTTCCTTTTTGATAAAGCTTATAGTTAATGCTTTTACCCACTGCTCACCTTGGTGCGACATTTGGGGTACTCATGGTCTCCTGGAAGCACTTTGAACGAGATGGGGACTCTGTCTGCTCGACGGTTAGCACAGAAGGAATCCCAAATGGCACGGTGCACAGCATTGTATACCACATCCAGACCAGTCAGAGCTACAAAGGCCATAGGCCGACAACATAGCTCTGGAGGAAGCTCCCACTGGGAACCTGCCATCATGATGATTCAAAAATGGATCTATCTAAACAAGACAGAGTAAGGTCACAGGCATCAGGACAGAAACTCTCTGATTAAATGGAAACAGGGAAAAGTTAATTATGGCTATCTGTCTTAAAATGCCCAAGAACATCTGCTTATTAAATCTCTCAAAGTAATTCAGGGGTTCCTGTACTGTATGTGAAATTAAAAGCCCTGAAGGATCAATTAATAACAGAGCACAAACACACATACAGGACAAAAGCATGCAATAAGCTGTCATAGCTGGTGTTCAAGCAACATAAAACACACAAACCTACAGTACAGGGACAGTTTTGTAGTTAAGGATATCAGACACCTACATTAACTAGTTTTTCGTAGTTTTTTTTAATCAATGTATGTATTTTTCAGATTACTTAAAAGTGATGGTTTTGATTTTTTTTAAGTGTAAATAAACGTGAGAAGGGATTTTTTCGTTGGGGGGGGGGTTGTTGTAGTTAGGCATACGTCTACAACAGTTAGTCAGCTAGTTAATCAGTTACAACATTGTACAACAATTTACAAAGAAAGAGCAGGAACACTGCAACAGCAGCACATATTGCAATAAAAACTATCCTGAAGAGCGAAAACAAAAAAGCTATCAAAATTTGTAATATATGTACTTCCCTGAATGTCTTTACTTAACTTAACCCTTTAAGTCACCCCCTGGCCTGTAAGTTTCATGTTCACATTGTCTGCTTCGATGTTGTTCTTGTTTTTATGTTGATATAGTGTTCAATGTAATTTCCTTTGGTAGATGCTTAAAGAATCAATATAAATATTCTATTGTTTTCCGACAGTCTAATGACAGAAGTAAACAAGCCATTTTTTAAATTTCTAACATTCCTAAAATTACTTTTGTGCAGGAAGTTAGGTGAGCATCACTACGGATATAAATACTCATGGAACCACCGAGCATTAACAGACCGGCTATATGGAGAACAGCTAGCAGGAGGTCACAAGCGTCAGCACTAGCTGAAAGGAGCGGAGCTAATTAGTTGCTGCTGACATTGACAAGAGTTGTTTACTTCGTATAGACTGTAGATCGACTATATACTTTGACCTCCACGGGGTTTGCAAAATGTCTTGACATAAGAGACATTTGTACAAAAATTTATTCTACACTGAAAAAACAGGTGACATGTTATAATTGTTGTTAGCCATGTAAATACACAAGCTATATGCATAAAAGCACACACATCGACAACGAAAGCGGAAGTAAGATAATAAAACTGCTAATGCTACCAACATTGCTAGGCTATTGTCGTGTCAGCACTCTCAATAAACCCGCAATATAATATAATCAAGTATATGAACTCGGGAGTACATTAAACATACCTGAGCTGCATCACTTCAAGTGAACTGATAACGGTAGCAGGGAAGGCTAGCTTCGTTGAGCTAGCTAGATGCGCTTTAAAGATTCTTAATTAGCTGGGCTAACAGCGTTAGTTGGTGAGCAACGTTGCAAAATTAGCTAGCAAATTAACATCAGTTTTAGGCTGCTTGACTTAGTGTAGCCAAGTCCCAACTCTAGTCACTATTAGAGAGATAGTCATCGATATGTTATACTCGACAGAGCCGGAAAATAGATAAGCTATTTCGGCAGCTATTGTTGAACCAACAAATTAGCTAGCTAGTCAGTTGCCTGTGGCAGAAGACGAATAACACATCCGGTTCGACTTTTCAAAGTTAAACTGCTATTCACGAAATACATTTTATTGCAATTGACTACATACAAACGATTTTTAACAAGAAAAGCAAACTATGATAATATTAATATTAACATTTAAACAACAATAATAATAATGATAATAATACATCTCCACACAGCACATAAAAAATGCTACTTCTTGCCTGGCTGGGATGTTATGTCAACATGTACAGTCTATGACAGAAACAAAGTCACCTGGTTGTCTCTGGCTTTATATCAATCTGTGTTACCCATTGGCACATCCTTGGCACTGGAAGTGAGGAAATGTTACAGGCAATGATATGCTGGATAAAAAATTAACTGCTAATAACTGCAACAAGACATCAGAATCGGAATCTGCTTTATTGGCCAGGTGTATCGGACACGCAACAAATTTGACTCTGGTACATCGGCTCTCAGTGTGCATGTACCTATCCCCATGTAAGGGGCAAGTAAACAGTAAACCAGCATAAGGCTGTGTAATATAACAAAATAAGCAGTATTAACAAGCAACAAACAGTGCAAACAATGCGAAATAAACAGGCAGTAAACAATGCAGACAGACAAGGAATGCTCATTATGAAATGGGATAAGTAGGAATAAAAATAGAGTACTTAAAACTAGAGACCTGTACCAATCTGTATAATCTGTACAAGGTATATTTACAGGTATTGCACTGAGGGTTATTGTCCAGTCATACTGTTGTTAGTCAAGTGTTCATCAGAGTGACAGCCTGGGGGAAGAAACTGTCCCTGTACCTGGTTGTCTTGGTGCACAGTGACCTGTTACGCCGTCCAGAGGGGAGGAGTTCAAACAGATTGTGTGCAGGGTGTGAGGGGTCTGCAGTGATCCTCTCCGCCCTCCTTTTGACCCGTGAGATGTACAGGTCCTCCATGGAGGGCAGGCTCACACCAATGACTTTTCTGCAGTCCTGACTGTCCACTGGAGTCTGTTCCTGTCCTGATTGGTTGCTGAGCCAAACCAGACAGTGATGGAGGTGCAGAGAACAGACTCGATGATTCCTCTGTAGAACTGTATCAGCAGTTCATGTTATTTTATTATTCTGGTAGCTGGTTATTATGACACAACACTACACTGGCTGGTGGCATTATAGGTAATGACACCTCTGAGGTAAAGTATTTAACCACGCTTTATGATTCCTTTGTGTGTAGAACACACAGTGGTGGAAGAAGGACTCAGATCCTTTACTTAAGTAAAAGTAGCAATAAAACAGTGTAAAAATACTTTGTTACAAGTAAAGGTCCTGCATTCAAAATCATACTTAAGTAAAAGTACAAAGTATTTAGCATCAAAACATACTTAAAGTACTAAAAGTAAAAGTACTCATTATGCAGAATGACAGATTTCACATTATTGCACTATAATTACTGATGCATTATTGTGTACATCACATTTAATGTTTCAGCTGATAAACATTACCAGTTTTAGTTTTATTGCTAGTTTTAACAGGCTTATATGCATTTAATTTGAATTACTGCTGGGTCGCTTGTGAATTTTCCAACACAGACCAATGAGGTAACTAGAAACTAAAGTTATAAAATAAATGTAGTGAAATAAAAAGTACATTGTTTGCCTCTAAAATGTAATGAAGTCAAAATATGAAGTAACAGAAAACGAAAATACTGAAGTAAAGTACAGATGCCTCAAAGTTGTACTTAACTACACTTTCCACCTCTGAGAACATTAGTTTTACAAGAAATATCTGTGTGTATTAGCTGACATGAAGCTTAGAACCAGTGCCTCAGCAAAGGCTAATTAGATGATTTCTGGAAGGTTGAGATTTGGGGCACATGCTTATAAATATAAAGTTTTTAATGAGGTGTACTCTGTACCTGCCAAAGAAATGGCTGGTACAGTGTGATGCTCTAAAGGATGAAAAGCAGCAACAGTGGGAATTGATCAGGAAATGTGCTGTGTGCAACAGTGACTGATGCCATGAAGACTAAGACTGGCCTCACAAAAAGAAGTTGCGGAAGAATGGCAGGTGAAGAGCAAAGTAATATGGGGTTAAGAAGATCCAGGAGTTTGGGGACTCAAGTCACATCAGGTGACCTTGGCCAAAGACCATTACATATCTGACAGAATGCAATGACAATGCAGTATATAAAAAAAGACAGCATGGGCTATTTGAGTCCACCTGAAGCTGTGTGGAGCACAGTTGACACTCTGGATAAACAGAGGTTAAATCCAAACTTGGAGCAGTAATAGTTTATAGAGAACACACAGGTGTTTCCCGGCTTCCTGTCATTCTGCCATCCTCAGGAGACAGCCGCATCCTCCAGCTCCGGCTGGAGGACACGAGTCCGGCTGCATGAGGTAGCATCCCGGCCGCAGGACCGGAGCGTGTGTTCTGCTCAGTACCTGCCTGACTGAAGGTGAGTAGCCTATCCTTACTTGATGTCTATGTGTTGTGGTGCCTGTGGACTAGCAATCACAAGCCACCAGGCCAACTGACAGAGCATTTGCCCATTGTACGGATGACTTAGGAGGCTATATGACTGATGTTAGTCGAGGGCCGCTGTGCTGTCCTGTGGGTGATCTCAGTGTGAGGAATCTGACGGCGTGGCTGCTGTTGGCTGCGTGGGGAGTAGCCTATGATGCGGTGAATCCGCGCTCCAGTACCATAGGTAATAAGACACCTGCGCACGCCAATCTGCATGAATGACGCCAAACTCAATTCAAAACTCTTTTAGGTTAAATGTTGTCTGCTTGTCTGAAGAAGCACTGCGGAGTAAAAGAAGATCTAGGATAGGCTATTTCACGAATGCCTCGCGGTTACTTCGGCTGTATATGATCTGTCAAGGAGAAGCCTAGTTATTACAAAAAGCTTAAAATAATGTTTTGCCTATTAGCATCCTGGAAAGCTTCATCAAAACACACCGCACTATGTCGGTTGTGAACGACGAAGTAAAGGTAAGACAGCTTAAATTATATTTAGAAATAAGAATAATGGATTCTGTGTTAGCCGAATTAAAGAGCAGATTCATGTGATTAAACACAACCTATTCGGATTGTTTTGGGAGCAGTGTAGCTGCCGAGAAATGAAGCTGAGACAGTTTGAGACATTTTAAGACTGACGTCTGGAGTGAGTGATTATCCGGGAGGACGATGCTCTAACGCATTTAGGCTGTAAATCCTCTGTTAAGGCCAAACAGTAACTGTTCACGCCCAGAGGTGTGTGAGTGTGCAATAAACAACAATCTAATGACCTTGAGCAAGGTTATGGATTAGGCCTATATATTTAAAGTTTTCATCGTCATATTTTGCCTGTCCTGGAATGTAGACGACAGAAGCTGGCTTTAGTCGACTGAAAACCGCAGTTCCCACCCTTCCCACGAGAAGTACAATAATGGCAAATACGGTATTTAACTGCCCTTAACGGAGGTTAATAAGGATTAATCACAAATGCTATCAAAATGGTTTTTGTCGCAGTTTAATTGATGGGATGCGTGTAAACCAAGTGGGCAGAAAAAGTCATCAGTCTTTAGTAAAGCGCTGTTTAACCTATAGATGTGTTAGGACCCCATCCACACTGAACTTCCCAAAAATGCTCTTATTCTCAAAGACGCGCACGTACAGCGCATTTTAAGCCACTTAGCAGTTCGTCTTATACAGTGTGAAGAATGTAGGAAAACACTGAATTACTTTATTGATCTGGCTATTGGAGTTCCTTGAGTCTTTTCGGTCAATCATCAATCAATCACTCAGAAACTTTATTGCCAAGTATGTTCAAATACAAGGAATTTATCTCCAGCTTAGAAGACAAACAACCATTTATTTCTGAATATGTACACATTTAACCATGAACTAATTATTTATCATTATATGCCCCTATAGGCCTACTCTGTCTTTTATGCCTGCTGTAAGACATTGTCACGACTAAGGTCTTTTAATGATTGTAATGATGATAAGATTACTGGGGTGGGTTGCTGGCTGAAGTTGTGATTGCATGCTGCTATTATTGCCTTTTCCATTATGTAAGTATTTCAGGGGCGCTCTTCCACTCAGTGCTCTGCCACAGGAAATATAGAGTGGATTAAACCATTAATAGCAAATTGTGCTTCTGTATAAAACATAGCCTAAAGGAACTAATCCAACCATGCCCTCTATGATGTGTTTGACGTGTTCTGGTCTTGTGCTACATACTGATTAGTTTCTGCATATTGTAAGGTGCATAGGCAGATCATTATTATTAACAAATTCAAGGCTACATCCATGTAACGTAGCTGCCTGCATAGTGGTCTAACTGCACAGCCCCAACCAACCTCGACCAACCTCAAGAAACTTCATCAAGTCATTTGTAAATCTAAGATGCAGTGGTTACCACATTAATTGATGTCAGCAGAAATAAATATCACTGGGTCACTCAATCACCTAAAGTAAGCAGGTTGCTGAGTGTTCTTCTAACATGCCATTTTGTTACCACCTCATTTTTCATTTTGCTTTATCACATTTCCAGGTATATATTGGGGAAGGATTTGGTTGTGCATTAACCAATTCAAGACTGGCAGTATTACTTTGAGACTGATGTATAGGCTGCTTTCTGATGTCATTTTTAGTCGATATTGAGTTACAATTAGCTAATTAATAATTGTTCAGCTTTCAGCCATTTGTCACATTGCCCCATCAAGCTCCCAGGAATGGGTGTATTAAGGAGAAATGGATCTCGACCTCAAAGAGGGCGCCCAGTCATGTGAATGAAAATTGTTTGCCTGGCACATGAACCTAAAAGTTCTCTAGCTTCTGGGTTTGCTTCTCTGTTGCACAACCCATTAGTATTTTCCCCACCTGTGTGTTTTTGCTTGCTTTATAGACTTTACATTGTGATGATGTCACAAAAAGAAAACTTACTTTTCTAGTCTCTGTAACGGTTTCACAGATAAAACCTTCACGCATAAGATTTTCAGAATACAAAGAGTGATAATTGATCTGGTTTGTAGCTTGATGTGTGCTGACAACCATTTTGCAGGTCAGTGGAGAAACTGCTTTTTGGGCCCCAGTTGCATTCCTCATTGCAATATCATGGAGTGGCCACTGGGTTAATTTGGCAAATTTCCAGATCTGATAATACATCCATGGCTGTGAAGCTGTTTTGTCATAGTGGCCAAATCACATTACTACAACTTCCATGTTGATCACATGACACAGCAACACAGAAAGATTAAAAAAAAAATCAGAATAAGATGGATTATTTTATTTTATCCTATTCACGTTTGCAGGCAGTCAACAGTAAGTCATCTGGCTCAACAGCAGGAGTTTTGGCTTGATTGGAGATGTACGCTAGTGCACATGCTCTCTGGGCCCAAAATTACAGAGGCATGCAGAACATTTGTATGGCTGGAATCAGAAAAACATTAAGGCATTAATTTGGAGTTTGTGCCACTGAAATGCCTTTCATAGGAATGGATTGGGTGTAATATGGTATCAAACTCTCCTTAATATATCCATTGTCCTGTCTGATAGAAGATTTTATAGGGCAAAGGGTGGCTCCCCATAGTTTTAAATATGGATTAGCACTGCTTTGGTTTTTTAAGATGGCCAGCAAGGAGCACACAAAGACACACAAACATAAAGGTACACAACAATAAGCTGACTAGTAGCAGATTGGTGTTTTGATCCTCAGTGGGATCAGCAATAACAACTCTTTAACACTAGGAGACCAAAACTGATATGACGTTTTCCTGCATCTATAGGACTGTGTAAGGCAAACCAGCAACCACTGTTGAATAGCATGACCTTACTATTAATAGCACAACTCATTGGATTATTAATAGTTTTTTAAGACCTTTTTGGATAAACTGAAAGAAAACTGTAATGAAATCCGAGAGCTCAGCAGTAGGTGTCATCTGTTTATAGTGTGACTATTGTGAACTTAACTTATTGATAATAAAATCTATTGTATAATGAAATATTAAATATTGTTTAACTAAACATTCAATTTTAATATTTCCTTCCATTTGACCACTCACAGTCTTCACATGGAAGGGTTCTTCTGCAACACCACAGCCAAAGGTGCCTGTATAACAAAGAATGCAACCACCCTCTCTCCTCTCTCATCACACATGCAAACTATCACAGACCCTTGCGATGTCAGATGTCTGCTGTAACGACTGGTCTACACACTTATCCCCTTCCCTCGTTCTCTATAGCTGTGTCATATTGTATTTTTTATGAGACTACATGTTGAGCAGCACACTGCAGTCCTAAAGCAGCAGACGCACACAGACGTCACAGGGAAGCCATGCTGTTGAGGTCACAACAATGCTGAGTCATTTCTCTGCTTCTCTCAGCACTTGTGAGTGTGTATAAGGGAGAGAGAGGGAGAGAGTGAGCATGCATCACCTTCCTTCCCTTCAGCATTAGACATATCCATTTCCATCCACAAGAAGTGATGTTGTATTGTAGGCCACCTTGAGGAAGGAGCTGGAGACTGAGCTGCCTTTTTCTCTTTATTTCCACACACACAGCACAGGGCAACCGCACCACAGACGGAACAAACACAGAACACCAAGCAATCCCCATAAACCCTGAACTAAATACATCCCGTGAAGAGGGGTATGATGGGGACCCCTGCCAGACGATCCCCTCTCGAGCATTCTGGGGGAGCCCGCCAAGTGTCTCTCTCTGCCCCCCAACACTACACAGCCTCCACCTGGCTGGTTAACTGTCCTCAATAACAATAGTCATCATAAAGTCCTTTAAGCGTTGGGGGCAGTCTGCACTGGTGCTGAGGCTGCTCCAGTAGCTCCTGGGAGGGTGGTAGAGGGGGGTCTGGAGCATGTGGCTGGCTCCTGTTGTCTGGTGCTCCCCCCTCAGGTGAATACGTGGGCTGGTGTGATGTCCGTCTGTTCCTGTGAAGCACCACCTGGTTCCACTTACTCAGTCTCACCCTGTACAGCGCATCTGGTCCTGCTGCCGGGTAGTACGCGAACGCTGGGTCAGCCCCCTGCAATGTCTCCATGTCAAAGTACCACTATTTATATTATATTTATTGTCTTTTTTCCTCCATTAAGTCCCTGCATGGTGGGAAAGGCTTGTATCACTATGCTTACATCGTACGTAACTGCATTGTAAGACATTAGGCTAAAGAAAACCTATGAAAAAAATATTGGTGATACAATAAATTAGATAATGGATAAACCAGAAATATTTTCAGTCACTATCTCATTCCTCCTCTTGTGTTTCCTTTTATTCCCTGAGATACCCAGCCAAGCAAATACAACTTTACATGAGAAAGGGAGGAAGAAAAATCAGACAAAGATGAATTTGGTACTAAAAATAAGCTTTACGAAAGCAGAAAGATTTCTGGTTCTTGTGGTTCATGTTGTAAAAACACAGAAAAGTCTGAGAACATAGATCCTCAGACTTTGTCTGTGGCCACAGAAGACAGACTGTAATATTCTGGAGTTGGATTTTACTTTCTATGAAATCAGGTATGAAATGGTTCGATGCAGCAAAAATGAAGCAATGTTGGAGTTAAAACAATAAACATTAAAACCAGAATAAAATCAGTTAGGACAAAGTGAAGATAAATCATTGGAATGAGATCAAATGCATAAAATCAAAATAACAAAAAGACAAAATAAAAGGGCTGAATCAGAAATGTAGCAGTTAGAGTACAGAAAGTGCAGCATAGAAACCCATCAAACAAAGCCACAGGAAAACAGCTGGGTTTTCAGTTGAGACTTGAAAGTGGCACACTGGGGCACATGTAAGGTCATCAGGAAGCTGGTTCCATCTGTGTGTAGTATAGTAGCTGAAAGCAGCTTCACCCTGGTTGGTTCTGACTTGAGGTTCTACCAGCTGACTGCTTCCTGAGGATCTCAGAGCCCTGCTGGGCTTGAATTCTTCAAGGAGACCAGTGGCCCAGCACCACTGAGTGATTTATAAACTCAGAGTGGCTCTTTAAAATCTGTAGATAACTAGTAGCTAGTGCTAAGATTAAAGAACAGGAGTGATGTGCTCAGTTCTCATCCATTATTCTTATTTCTAAATATAATGTGTGTGTGTGTGTGTGTGTAATATATACACTATATATGCGCTGCCTTCATTATTACAAGCTAATTTAAACCTCAGCCCTCAGCATATTACTCTTCCTAGTCGTACACCAAAGATGTGCTGAATACAAGTGTGAGCAGAAATTTAACATTGTCCTGGCAACTAATATACTTGAGAATCAACTTATCAGCCTAGGTGTATAGTTTACAGCACAGTCAACAAATGTCTCTGTCATCATTCAAATCATCAGTAATAAAATGACCAATATATTTAATTTTCCTACATGTCACTGGTGGAATATTACATAAATAAAAATAAAAATAAAGATGCTTTCCTTCCCTCCGTACTTCTAAATATTATGATATTCCTATTTTTGACAGTAAACTGATTATTATGGCCAAAACCAAATAGCTGCACTCCAGCGCTGTATGGACGTTAGCATATATAAGGTGATTGATGACATAACCACCCACTAAACACCTTGCTGGTCATTTACACAACCCATCCATATAGACAAACAAAATGGGAGACAAAATTCCACATTGGTGAACACCATTGTAGTACTTACATAAAAAGGAGCAGACATACTGTTGCCCTATTTAACATACATTGTTTGATGTCCATACCAGAAGACAAGCATTCTGATTATGTACTTTAGAACCCCACTGACAAATCATAATAAGAATCATTTTTCATGATTAATTATATCAAATCCCTTGGAAGTGTCAATGAAATTTTTTTTTTAAACAGTCGAATTTTGCCTACTATAATGCACACTTATTTACTTAATGGCATATACTGTATACACATATCAGTATCATGCTTTTTCTTGAAAACAAACTGATTATCAGAGGTAAGAATAATTCCATTCTTATTTGGAGGATTCTTTCCACAACAGATACAGTACTAGTGAAGGCAATAATTATCCATACTATTAAATTTACCAGTTTTATCTTTAATTACAAGTACTATCAAAACTAAATATGTATGACCTTACATAAAGTTAGGTACAGTCAATATTCTGTTTTCACATGCTATGTTTGTTTTCTACAGTGATTATGTTTAATTCAATTAGATTTGTATTAACTAGTGCTGTCGATCAATTAAAATATTAAATAACATGATTGTCCACAGTTAACTCACGATTAATTGCAAATTAATCACACATTTAAAAAAAAAAATGTTCTAAAAGTGTTCTAAAAGGGACCGGACAGCCCTTAGCAAAGTATGACTGGAGCAGGAGCTTGGTTCGCATTGCCGGCAGTAAGTCATTCTTGTTTCCGGTGCATGCTGGACTCAGGCAGGGCTGCCCTTTGTCACTGGTTCTGTTCATTACTTTTATGGACAGAATTTCTAGGTGCAGCCAGGGGCCAGATGAGAATCAGCACCTCCAAGTCCGAGGCCATGGTTCTCAGTCGGAAAA